GTCAAGGCAAAGGTCATTTCATAGGAGAAGATTATATAACATGTTTGGTTTCCATCACAGAAATTAACCATTGCTGTTTCTTTGAAAGAAAATTAGGTATTGATTTGTCTCTTGACTTATATGTTCTCAAAGGCGACATTGCCTCCGTTATGCAAATCAATTAAAGACGATTATACTAAAATCGCTAAAACCCTGGATGCATAAAATCGATTACACACTAGAGACCCTAAATAGCATGATTACATCTGTGAGGACACATTGGATTCTGATGAAACTTTAACCTACCTGTAAGATTGAGAAAGCAACCCAAATTATTCAAAGCAATTTTCAGTGTAACATGAATATTCACCAAATGTAGCCAATTACCTCAAAGCTTGATGGCAGCCCGATCATTAGATGGGATGTCTTGCTAATGATCCACATGTTGAATAGACAGACTGATTAACACTTACCGACATTTTTTTGATGCTAATTAAAAGATGGCGCGAACAGTAGTTGGGTTTTTTTTGTTATTGTTTTTTTTTCTTTTTCTTTTTGCTGCTGGTGATTTAAGAAAAATAGGACTGCATGATAATGTTTTAGAGGCGCTGATTAATAGTATGAATGAATTTGGTCTAGCAAATTGCTTCAGGAGACTTTATGCCTCGCACTGCAGGTGCGGAAACATCTTTTTGTTATCCACACCAGCGCAAACAAATGAAGTGTAGAAAAACATTATCTGTGCAACACTGAAGCAGAGTTTGTAGTTGGAAACATCTGCATATGAAATACATTTGAACTCATTCCTTGAATATCTATTTCTTGGCTTTTCTCCAACATATAAATGCATAAAAGTCAAATAAAATGTTATTCTGCACTGAAACATGCTCTGCCTTCAGTCTCTGATAGCTGTACAGAGCTGTGAAGTTATACTTTACAAGTTCTTTCATGCATTTATTAATAAATTAAAAATAAATAAATAAATTGAAAAACTCTTGTGGCTTTTTCTTGTAGTGGGGTCTAATTGCACTCGAAAGCTTTGAAACACAACAAACCAAAACACTTAAATTACTATGCAGGTTTGGTGCACAGTTAGTTATCGAGCTATATTGTTATTAACATTGCAGTGCTGAAATGTGCAGAATGAAAGAGAAGGAGGATTGATTAGCACAGACTGTCTGTGTTGACGTTTCATGTTTCCCATGTCCCTTTTGGAGTTCTCTCAGGTCCTTTGGCTTCTTCTTCCAAAATCTGCATCTTAGATTATAAATTAGCCACGTGCATGTAAGATAGACACAGCTAGTGCTTAAATACACAGAATAAAATGCCTTATGAATATGAGTGAAAAGGTGAATGTGGCTTATAGTGTAAATTGCTCAGCAACACCTCAAAAGCACTGTATAAATGCCAGTCTGTTCCATTACATGACAGTGAATTTAGAGTACATGTATTTTTAGATACATTTTGTCTTTTGAGTCTAAAAGGATTCATCAGTTAGGCTCAGTTTATCCTTCATGATCAGCGCAGTGCAACTCTGTGGGCAAAGAGCCGCCTATCTGTCTGCCTGGCTGAATCCATGGGGCACTCTGGCCTGCAATGCTTGACGGTGACCAAATAAGGGCTGACTGCAACATGTATGCAGGGAGGAGACCATTTTGTAAGTTGGCACAGTGCAGCCTCTCACATTCTTTGGCCCCACTCAAAAGGCTTCTGTCCTTCATCGCGCATCCACTATGCGAACGGACAGCAGCTACATGAACTGTACAAGAGGGTTCGTCAGATGGTTCATGTACGAGGTTGGCTGTAGTTAAGTGCTTGTTTGCAGAGTCTGACAGTTATCTCTAATATTTAGAGTGACATCCGCTGCCAGCGCTTAAAGGCATAGTGTGAAACTAACAAAGACAGAACAAAGGCAGTTTGTCAATCCGGTGAATTCATTAAGATTATCCAGGAAAAATAAGGATAATGTGGAAATATGGTGTAATATTAAATCTAAGACTAGCACTGCGGAGCAGACCCAAACATAAGTGATTCAGATATTCACTAAATTCTGTCTCACTACTGTGAGACCAAGTTAAAGATTAACTTGGATGTTTTCCTTTGGGCCTCTTTGAAGTGGAATTAGTCCAACCCCTGCTTATCTTAATTAGAAAGAAATCTAGGGGAGTGAAGTGGTCTTCTGGAAATGAGCACCTCCACTCCCTGAAGCCCATACTAAAGCTTAACAAGACCTTGAGGAACACTAAACTTAACGTTTTCTAATGTCATTCTGGGACTCTTCCTATAATATACTCTGGTATAAACTGTGAACATAAATATTTTTCTTCTGATGTTTGAAAGTGCGGGTCAGTGCTGTGTCGTCCTCGGTCTCTTATGGATAGGGAAAGGGAATAATTAATAGAGCTTATTCGTGTTTGTGAATAACGCTGAAGGTGAACAGGTGTTTAATGGGAGTGATCCTGAAAAAGAAGGGAAGAAAATTCTCCTTGAGGCTCGGTTTGTTGCGTAGGCACTTTTTTGAGTGTCATGTGAACACTTATGCAAAACAGAACATGAATTGGTGTGCGTCTGACTATATTCTGTTCCACTCTCTAGCTGAATATTTTAGTGTGCAAATAATCTGTTGCCTTCATTTTCTATACCTACATAGACTCTATCTAATGTAAGGTTCAGATAAACAAGTGGTGGCAGAAGAATAGCCAAAACCTCTGCTTCCATTGCTTCCGTGGAGCACAGGCGCCACAGCTCGGAGATCACACACACAGTGTTTATTGGTGGCATGAGTGACATGCTGCTGGCTTTAATCCAAATAGTGTAGGGAGGCCCTGTCATACATAGGTCACCTGTCTCCAGAAGAATAATGCAGAACACACAGGAAGCAGAAAGCCTACACTGTGGTAGACCTCAAGAATGTGCGTCAGGTTCCCATAGGATGTTGTCCTGTCACTTAATAAAAGTTATGTGTTACACATGTAATATTCGATGTATTTTGCCAGCAATATTTTTTCTTTAAAAGCATGTTTTCTCTGCACACAGAATTTTATATTTTAAATGATGTTGTTTTTTGTACTGCTAGTGTACTGAGAAGCATAACAGAGCTGAACAGCTTGATTTTATTAGTTCAAATTTAACGCCACACTGACTTCCCAAACAGCTTTTCACTCTGGAATTGTCATTTGTGTCTTGAGATCAGTGATGGAAATTTTGTCATAATGCGGTGCAAATGTTTTGCACTTACCTTGTGAGCTACTTGATCTCGTCATCAGCACCGGTGGCTTTGCCTACTAAAACAGAAAAGCGACACAGTGACATGGTGCCTGAGCAGACAAATGAGTGAACGCTAGCATTGAAAAAATGATTAAATGTTATTACACTGCCAGATAGACCTTTTGATCAATATTAGATAGCTACAATTTTCATATTTAAGCATAATTTAAACACAGAGGGAAATCCACAGTATTTGAAAGTATAAACTTTTAAAACGTGATTCTGAATCAGAACGAGGTGAGAAACAGCCGTGCTTTGAAGTTGTGTGTCAACTAGATATGCCTGTTGTCAAACAGAGAAATAAATACTCTGTTATGGGCAGAGAAAATCTGCTTTCTACTCAAGGTTCACAGTTCAGTCCTTTCCATCTGGATCTGTAATTTTAAAGAACCTCAGCATCTGTCTTGTTTTGTCTTCTGTCTTCTTTCAGATTTTACTGCATTCTTTATCTTCTTAGCTTTAAACACCCTGTCTGGTTGAAAACATCAAAGTAAATCAGTGTGTTCATTATATTTTAATGACAGAAATAATACAACGAGTTTTCTATGAGATGAGGGAAAAAGAAATCTTTTTTGCTACTTGTCCTCATGCATCACACTGACTTTTTATACTTTCAAGCAGTTAATGCCCCATATTGTCAAATGGGTATTTAACACATGGGTATTAAAGGCCTGGTGTTGCTCAGTGCGAGAAAACATGTACAATAACACCCAAAGTAACAGGTGCAGAGAATATTTAATATGTGCGCGCACCCACTCGAGCATGCACAGAGTCACCGAACCTCATAATGCATGCACCCTCACACATAATAAAACACCCAGGGTGAATGTATATAGGTTTTACCCTTCACAGTTAGGAAGGAAATGGACACAGCAGAGTGGTCTGCTGGACGTGACAGATTTACTGGCTGTACCGACGAGAACGGGGAGGAGCTAAGACTCTCAGTTGTGCCTAACATCTGCAAAGGCAGCACTTTAAAATCTCTGAACAATGTCCCGGCACCCTCCTGACAATTTCACTTTTATTTCACTACTTTCTGAACTGCCAAATGTTCTGTGGCTCATGCATCTCCATCTCACCATCCTCAACCATTACAGCACCAGCCAGACAATTTAACTGTGCAGTCTGGTGGATGCATTTGGATTTTTTATTAACCTGTGTTTCATTATTTAGACTCCCAGCCATCGCACTGGAAATGACCACATTAAAATGCGTTCCTGTATGAGTCCGTGCGTGCATGTGTGCCCATTTTGGTCTGCCGGAGTTTGTGTATCTACGTTTGATGCCTGTCTATGTGGCTCTGCTTTGAGTCTTTACGGTCAAATTGTTGCAGACGTGCCCTCCAGGACTATAACGTCGCCCTTTGAGTGCAGCTTCAAAAGGCATGGAGGAAAAAACCCAGTTCAGACAAGAAACAGACACCTTTTATCTTAATCAGAAATGAAGCAATTAGATGGCACAAGCTGTCTTCCTTTTGCGTAAGGGCTGTGCACACCGCATGGGGGGGTATGCGGTGTGCACAGCCCTTACTGAGAGCAGGCTAGAAGTCAAAGTCAAAACCTGGGGGTATGCAAGAACCCATCCTAATAGAGGGTATTGAAATTTCTTTATCACCTCTGAATCAAAAGGATGTGCCCATTTTTGGACCATTTAGTCCTGGTTAGGGTTTTTAATTCATCTTCTTCTGTGTTTCTGTATTAGGATTTCTCAGTAGTCCTTTATGAAGAAAAAAAAACTATTTCTTTTTGTAACAGGCGGCAACAAACTGAAGAACCAACAGTTCCGTCTGAACTGGGCTTGGATCTCCTTAGAGAAACAACACTACGTGGTGAACGAGGAGGCCAAGTTCCTGGAGGTGGTGCTGAAGAAGAGGGGCTACCTGGGAGAGACATCATTCATCAGTAAGCAGATTTTACATCAAGTCACTTAAAATGTCCTTAATTCATCTTAAATGTTACCAAAAAGCAATGAGAGGAGTTGAATATGTTCATCTCATCTTAACAAAAAACGTTCCCCATTTTCTGATTCTGGATATTTTCAAAATAGTAAAGGAATAAATGCTGAACATGTTACATGTTTGTGAAATACTTTATGCATTCTTTGGTCAACCACTGATGATTTGCTTGCTGCTTCGCTCCGGGATTAACTAAAGATTAACTCACCAAATTCCACAGAGTCTGTTAAGTTGTTTTGCAGTTAAATTCAAATACACAGGGAAGCAAACATATAGCCCTTGTCGGAAGATATTCACTTTCTCAACACCCGTTTGTTTAAGTCTGTTTACTTGAGTGTCGCGGGCCACCATATCGTCAAGCATTCACCGACTCAAAAGCCCACACGAACGCGCTTTGTTATATTTCAGGACAATTCCAAAGCTGGCCTAGATAGCCAATAGGGTCACACGGGTCGTGACCTTTTACCTCTCTTTTCTGGACGGTATTTATGTTCCAGTCACACAATAGCAGAGGATGTTCCCTCAGGGACTCTGCATGCTCATGAGAAAGGTCAGCTGAAGTTAGAGCCTATGGAGAGGTGCCACTCCAAATGTTAGTCGAGGCAATCTAGTGGACAGAACTAAACGAGCAATAACAGTTAACACTGTTTTTTAAAAAAAGAGCTGCTGTAAGCATTTATGAGTGGCAGGAATTCTTACTGCTGGCACTAGTAGCCTGTTTTAGTGCTGCCATTTATTCTGTCCATAAAGATGAGGTGTAATTAAATGGCCTCATGCTGAAGGTCAAACCCCATAGGATCATTTACTGTACTGTCCCTGCAACTTCGTACGCTCAAGAGCCCCAAGACTAATGAAACATCTCCGAGGGGATATGCAAATTTTACTGACCTTTACAGTGTCTCACACTGCACGGCATAACGGCTCTACCTTAGGGACTCAGTGAAATAAAAATATAATATCTTTATATTATAAAGTTAAATGCCATAAAATGTATATGTTATGTAATGTTATTTTATGGCCTTTTGCGCTTATTAGAGAGGTGCAGTAGAGTGAGAAAAGGAGGAGGAGAAACCATGCAGTGAAGATGCGATACACGTGGTAGATAAGGATTCAGAGTAAGAAGTAAATCTAAAACTTATTATGTAATTAATTAATGTAATTTTTCTGTTCACGTTGATAAGATGCAGAACAAAAGAGGCAAAACTGTTCGTGTGTGTGTGGTAACCCAACAGTGATCTGTCTGCGGGATGATTTTAAACAACAAAGTAAAATATTGTTTATAAGGAGGTTGGGCAAACAATCAAATAGCTGCTGTTTGCTTTGATTTTCTGGAGCACTGGTGCTGATTTATTAATGACTTCATTATCAATTAAAGAAGTTCTCCTTTGAACTTTGGATGCACTGTTTTCATTGCCTAAAGAAAACAAGGCTTGCATTATGTCCAAAATTGCTGTTGTGTTATTGGTATTGCGTGCTAAGGTTTTAAAAAACAAGTTTTCTTGTTACTGCTGCAGCATTAAGGTGGATGATAATGGACGGGAGAGGATGCAAAGCTTGCCATCGTGCTTTTATGATACCCAGAAAAAATTACGAGAACTAAAAGCAATAGTTTCTCTTACTGAATATATATCATTTATGGTCTCTGTTTCCCATATCTTTACATTTGCAATCTTCTCTTCTATTTTTGTCTGATCACATAGTCCTGGACGGATTTTCTGTTTTTTAATTTCTAGCCATGAAAAAGAAAAATAGGTAGCCTCAAGTTCATCAGACATTTAGACAACCTTATTGACATCTCTCAACAATAACATCCATGACAAGGTTTGCTGTAGCACTTGCCATTGGTTTCAATTTAGAACTTTATATTTTTCGGTTAAAAATATCTATTTTCATTTTATTCATCAGTTATTCTGGTGCTTCAACATCTCTGCACTATTCCGCCTCCAGGCACACACGTAACAACAAACATCCTGTCTTAGAAAGGTAGTGTCCTTCCTTGTAACGGAAAACATAAAAAATCCCAGAGCATTCATGTCATTCTTACAGGGAGCATTTATAGTTTCCTGCCTCCTCTGCTGTGGTGAGGATAGCAGAGCAAAAGTAGCAAACTGTTCGGATTAACTGGCATAAGCAGGCCACCAGAGCAATGTGGCACCTCAGACTCTCTGCCTCGGTGTTGTGATAAAATACCACCTGATCTTAGGTCAGTGCCTTCAAGTGAAGACAGTATATTTTATCTTGCCTAACCCTGCATGAGTGAACACTGATCTGAGGACCCAAAGGATGGGCTGCTTCATCTCTAACCAATGTGCACAGTGCAGTTCACACCAGTTAGGAGGCTACAGTGAGCACAGCTGCTGCGAAGGCTCAGAGTGACCGCTGTGAATGGGACCAACCAATCCAGCTTGAAGGAGATTGACTTAACAGTACATCCTTGTGTCTCTTTTCATACTCTTTGAATGTTGACAATATTTCAGGATCCACTAAACCTTTTTTTTTTCATTGTATCCACTCATTTTACTTTATTATTTTCATTTAAAAACACTACATGAAATTGTTTTTTTTCCTAATTCTATCTTGCTCAGTATTTTAAAAAAAATCCTGTAATCCCAAAGGTTCAGTTTCCAGTGATGTTATGGTTTTCTGCATTTACAGCAGCTTGCAGGACTTCCTTGTTTTGTTTAGTTTTTTTTTTTTTTTCATTTATTGCCAGAACCCTGCTGTGTGTTGTGTGGCCAGTTAGCAAACACAATGGAAAGGCTGTGTGACATTTCACCAGCTTCAGCGCTCCTGCTCAACAGGCATCCAGCCAGTGTCACAGCAGTAGTGACTGTAAGCTCCATCAAACAGCTCTCATGCTGAAGGTCAGACAGTGCAAGTCAGCCTCCAACCACTTCTGCTGAGGCTGGGCTGACATGAGGGATAATGGTGTTTATTTCCACCATGATCATCTCAAAGAATGGTGGCGGGAAACTGCACCCTGGATATGGACAGATATTGTTGTGTTAGACCAACTGGGGTGTGAGATTTTCCAGGTGTTACGGGAGGTGAAAAGCAGTTTAATTGTATGTTTGTTTGGTTTTTCAGCTTTTATATAGCTATTCATAATCACATAAATATTTACATTTGTAAATGGGCATGCAGTTAACAAAGCCAAATGTTAAAATTAAAGACAAAAGCCGGCAGATGGTGAGGTCATTTTTACAGAATTTTCAAATGTTAATT